GGGGAAATAACCTTTTATAGGACAACAGTCCCATTGGGGAAAAAAGGAAGAAAAGCTGAATAACACGACGTTAAAGTTTCAATAATAGTGAACTTGAGCTTTTCATGCAGACGTTTGACCTACAACGCACATCGGGGTTCTCCACACTCTGTCGGACCACATGCGGCATCCATAACGTCAAACGTGAACGATACTTTCAACGTACGAGTATCTTAAAAATCTTAATTTGATCGAAGTTTCTTTGTCTATTTACGTAAGAATCAATTAGTGAATTCTCCTATGAAAGATTGTTCTGACTACTCTTTTCATCACTTTCCTTTCTTTCGTCCAGTCTGCACCAGCGTCTAAGGTATAGCTGTGAAAAAGGATAATGATATACACATGCAATTTCAAAAATATAAAATAAATTAATAGTACTTAGTGAACTTTGAGTGTGATACCTGACACTGTATCATTCTTGAGACCTCTTCAGTTTCATTTGTAGATTTTGACTTTTATTTTTATTTTCATATTTTTACTCTTTTGAAATAAAAATATATGTGTTTTTTTAAAGGCTAGAGGGCGACCGAGAAAGACCTGGATAGATGGAGTCAGGGAAACATTAAACACCCACGGCATCCCCCTGTCTCAAGCTCTCCGGCTGACGACAGAGAGACGTCTCTTTCTTCCCGCGACACCCAAAAGGGTATAAGCGGCGGATAAAACTAAAGTAAAGTAAGTAAGAAAATATATTATGTGAATGTTCCTTGATGTGAGTAAAAGAATAAAGATGGAGAGAATTTTTCTTAATTACTTCAAAAATACCGCGCAATTACACGGTGGTTAAAGTACACCGATCGGCAAATATCGTGGAACATACTATAGTGCGGTCAAAAATTCGTGCGCAACTTGTTATCAAATACCTCCTCAACTATCGAACATAAAGTCTCCAGCTTTTGCACAGTGACCTGTATCAATTTGTCATTAACAGATTAATATTTTTGTATACACCTGTTAGCTCAATTCTAGAAATTTCATTTATAAATACTAATTTAAAAATCCCAGAGGGTGGTTGTTTTTTAAAACAGATTTTAAAAGGTTTACAGCTGGGGCAATATCGCTTTTAAAAGCAATTTGTCCTTTTTTTTCTAATTTCGTGGCAATGTTTATTGAACGCGTGGTTTGCTGTGAAAAATTCCATTTTCCGTGTGAAGGAGATTTGTAATATTTGATATAAATTCATGAAGAAAAGTTTTTTTAATCTAGCCTCAATATATGTGAAAAAATATGAATACGTTAAGACAAATTGATACAAACTGCTTTGCAAAATATGAATGACATTGATTCACCCGTTCAAGAGATATTTGAGGATAAGTCGCGCCACGAATTTTTGACCGCACAATAATTGAGCTCACGAGTGAGCCGGCAATGTCAGACATGAGGACCTTCTTGCCCTCACCGACATGGCCTTCATTTAATTGAACAATCTCAAATTTCAAAGGGAATCTGTTTCCCTGAGTGTCTCTCACAAATGTGATGTAAATTGTGTTTTACGGCGGTTTAAAAGTTATAATTGTATTTTCCCAAAAGTGAAAATGAAAATAAAATGAGAAATTCTCTCAATTATTTTTACGGGTGCACCTTTGAGTTCCGGATTTGTTTTCTTTCACAATTCAATAAACACCTTTTCCTATATGGGGGAAGCTCGCGTATGGGGATCATTTCTATTAGCTTCTTTGTCTCACTGTGATTACCCTGTCAAACAAGTCAGCTTTCGCACATGTGTACAAAATGTTTGATTTCTGTCAAACTTTTCAGTATACATGTACAGTATAGGCACCGAGAGGTTCCTCCCTGATCCATAGACTTAAGTCGTCAAACCTGGATCGGACAAGGGAACAGTGAAGGTGGAGAAGGTGATTTGAGTCTCCGCCCACTCCTGTTGTGGTTTTTGTTCAAGTGTTTAAGGCTTCCTGGCACCTCACAAAAAGGTTTTTGATGTGAGTTAGGAAAGTAAGTTTTTTGGCGAATATTATCCCAAGAAAGCGAGCCTGGTCCTAAATGGGAATCCTTCACCCATATAATGTCATATCAGGCTGTAGTACACGACTTCTGGAACGGCAGAAGGGAACAGCAATAGTCTTTGACGGGGGAAAACTTGAATGCATTTTCGTTCGCCCACTTTTAAAGTTTGTACAGCTGCACCCTGTAGCTGTCTTTCCAAAGTTCTTACTTGTGGATTACTAGAGATGAGCAGCGTAACAGAAAGTCGTCAACGTATAAAGAGCTGTGTGTTGTTTTGGAGGGCTTGAATTATGGAATTGATTTTTAATTTCAAATAGGAGAAGAGAAAGGATGCTTCCCAGAAGAACAGCTTCCTTCTGTTGATGGAAATGTGAAAGGGAAGACCCGACATGAACTTGGGAAGAACGGTTCTAAAGGAAAATGCCAACGAAGGCAGAAAGAAGACCGCCTTGGCGATAGTGAGGATGTCTCTAATAATCCCGTACTTCCATGATGTGTTAAAAGTTTTCTCTAGGTAAAAATAAAACAGATGGGGATCATGTGGCTTTCTGTGGCAAAGGACTCTCGTATAAAAGTCTCCTGGAGAACCAGGAGATCCAGAATGGATCGAGTTTTCCAGCACTGGAGACCGCTCAGCGAGCCCGTCGTCTCCAGAAACCACATGAGTCGCCTGCTCGTCTTTTTTTTACATTATTTTTCTTTGCATACACTGTTCTTTAAGGTCTTTGGTCTCTAGTTGGATGTTTGTGTGTGGTCGTTGTTTGATTTTGGAATTGGAATGGCAGTGGAAAGTCGCCAGACCTCTGGAAAGGTGTGCAACAGCAAGTCATGTCAGTGTAAAGGTTGGGAAGAAGTGTGAGTATTTCCGTAGGTAAGTGTCTAGTGATCTGGTATTGCCCAGTTCCTAGATGCATGATGTTAGTTTGTCACTACTTAATCATTTCAGTGAAAGGGGGGGCGAGTTTAGGATCAAATTTTCTGCACATAGAGTTATGACGTCACTGAAAGGGGGAAAAAAAGGGGGGGGGGAGGCGGATTCCATTGCGTGCGAAGAGAGGCATAGATCAGTCTTTAACCAGTTTCACTTCAATTTAATTGCAAAAGAATTTAAATTTATTGCCTTTGTTTGCTGTTATCATTTTGTTTAACATATCAAAAAAGGAGAAAAATGTAATGTTCGCGAGATGTCTAAAAATCCATTTAATCTCGAGAACTTATTCATCTACGCGCCATGCTTATTTTTCCCATAGTAATGCGGCTGGCGCAGTGATCCTGGTTAGTTTCTGCCACAGACATCTATTTTTAGTTTACGACGAGCTACAAATAGATCAATGATCTAATTAATTACCGTGGTTTGTGATAGCAGCTAATAATAAATAAACACATCACTGGTAAACCAGGGCGACGCAACGTGATCATGCTGAAAGCAATTCATCAAATTCATCATTTTGGTGTTTTTAAAAAAATCATCACTCTTAGTCTTAGCAGTTTTTATCTATTTATCCATAATTGTACAGCATTTACATCGAGAACAGTGATCGTGCTCGTCTGATGCCGATATAATGACAAACCCCGCAACATTAAAAACCCTTAAAATACAAGTTATTTTGTGGTTACACGGTAGCACAGTGACTAAATCGTTTACCTGTCATTGAAGATATCACTGATTCAAGTCCGGGATGATGCAATTTCTTTCTTTTTTTTAAAAATAAATTTGATTCTGGCCCCATTGTTTTGTTTCATTATAGTTTTGTTGTTTTCTAGTATACGTACTAATATTATTGTCCTTAATAACGATTATTACTGTTATAAAGGACAAACCATATTTTTCTGTCACTCAATGATGCCCTTATTGTGAGGTGGTGGTGTTTTTGTGTCCTTGTGACATTTTGATCCCCGTCAACTTATTACAATTATTTTTATAATA